TCTGTTTCGGGTTTCTTTATACTGTTTACGCTGGGCCATTTTTACATTGTCTTGGAAATACTCATCACATAATTTGTGACAATACCTGATTTACGTTGCATTTACTCCACACTTATGACATTGATAGTGTCTGTTGTTTTTGTATCTGTCTCCTGAGCCATTTAACTACTGTACTCAGACTATATAGCACTACAGTACTGTATACGGTAATATCTCTGTTAGCCAGAATCCTTCCAACCCGAAACTCTCCGATGGCGGGAAATGAAATTTTCTTGGTAAATCGTTCCCAAAGCGGGAATTTTCCAGAAAATTCCGGCCTTGGGAATGATTTTCCGGAAAATTCCGAGAAAATTTTCCCGATACCCTGAAATTTCCGGGGATGGGGAATTTTTTCAGGGTTTGAGAGATGATGTAATGGGCAATTTCTGGAACTTCCGAGAACATTTTACCATTACCTGGAAAATTCCGGGGATGAGGGATATTTTTCCAGGTTTGAGAGAGTCGTCTCGTTACCCGGAAATCTCTCATTCCTCGAAGTGCTCTGCACCAATTGTTTCAGCTATTGGAGATATCACCGTACATGTATGTGCTGTATATTATTTATGTATAGTACGGCACTGTACTGTATTTTGTTTAATGTGTACACTACTCTTATGTTGTTGTAGTTTTTATTAATTGTTTTATAGTTTACTGTTGTACGCTAGTGTTACATACAGTATTTTTATTAATTTATTGGAATATTATGGGTAAGTTAATTCTGTGTTTTGAGTTATTGTGCCATGTGGACTATGTTTTGTGATCTGGTCATAGTCTTGTGATGTTTATCTCTGTGATCCTTAAGCATTATGTTTCTTAGGTATGTTTTAAATGACAAGGATATATCTGTGGCTAAGAGGCAGCAGTATAAAAGTGTTATGCTTAGAAATTAAATTAGATGTTCTTCATTAAATGGATAACGGTGAACAAGTGGTTGATCAAAGGTCATTTCAATAAGTGTCATACTCTATAGGGATGGTCCCCCCCACATAAAGGTGTTATCGTAGCTTGAAGTCATACCAAAGAAATATATACCCGGTAGATTTTGTTTATTTTTACTGCTTTGGTAATTTTGTGTTGACATGTGAGGTATAAAATGTTAGTCTAGATTTCTTTTAGAGTTTATCATGGAAGTCTTCATCATTTCATATATGATTGTGTTACCATATGTACAGTCGGCCACAGGAATAAGTATACTGCACACACTGTAGCTGTAAGGTCTGAAAATGGTCTGGTAACGTTGAAACTGAGCATCCAGACACATGATGAAACTCAGCTCCCGCCACCTGTTATCTCTAACTATTTTCTGTTTCTCCTTCTTTATTATTCTATTTACTCCTCTTCCTTCCTTTACTAATACAAACATCAGTAAAAAATGTAGGGCAAGAGAAAAAGTGGGGGAGGAGGAGGGAGCTGTACGATAACTGCAATCCCATTCGGCAACAAGTTTACTACCATTGGATACAATATATCACTTGTAATATAAACACAAGACACTAGTAAAACATTCACAACAAAATGTATTTATAACATATATGTAGGAATAAAACATAAATTACAGGTCATTTTGTCTGTTCTGTTCAGGACAGTGTTACCAGATATTTTGTCTCAAACATGAACCGTAGGTGTATACTTATTCTTGTGGTCGACTGTACATGTGACCTAACATACTGTGTGTCTGTATGACACTGGAGTGTTGACATTTCTGAAATTTACAGATGTAACTTGGCATCACCTACATGAACCTGTATTATAGAGCGTAAAGAAGCAGGCACAGTTGTGATGAATGAATGTACAGTACAGGTATGTAAATATCTCCCAATACTTTATTTTGTTAATAAAAAGGAAAAGCGTATGTTACCCTTGATTCTGGCCACTGGCACCAGCAGAAAGGCATCAGAAACCTTCATCAGAACTGGAGTAAGTTTGCCCTTAAGACATTTACTCTTTTATGAAGATCTTGGGTAAGAAAAAGAAATGCTCCGAATTCATGTATCATGTCTGTAAACATTATTGTGACCTCAAAGAAACTTTAAATTTGTAATATAAATTGACCTGAGCTCATCAGAAGTGACCTCAAATTTGACTCCAGATAATCCACGCCCTTGAGGGCTTCTTGAGAATTATTTGAAGGCAATTCATGTTAAATATTAATTAGAAATCAGAAGATTTGCCCAAATTTCTTACTTAAGTAACTAATTAAACTAAGCAGTTGTCTCTCATATTAGCTTTATCTTTGGATGTATGATGGTGTTTGTGTTGATGTGAAACTGAATTTACCTGTTTTAAACCTACAGTATTCTGGCTCTTGAGTTATCACAGAAATAGCACACAGTGTCCATGATTAATATGGGTTTAGGATCATAGTTGAGTTTCCTTCATCTTTCTCTCTTGAAAACTAGTTCATGCCATTAAAGCCTTAGCAGTTCATTACAATGGGGTATTAATGTGTTGTTGGGTCAGGTCTAAGACCCACTACTGTACTGAACCCACAATCCTTTACTCAAGAATTTGTCTTATTTCAATATAATAAATGTGTGTGTGTGTGTGTGTGCGTGTGTGTGTGCGTGCGTGTGTGTGTGCGTGCGTGCGTGTGTGCGTGTGTGCGTGCGTGCGTGCGTGTGACCCAGCCAACATAAATGTCATTAAATATTGTACTATCAGTAGAGCCAAGTTTCATTACTGTACAGGTACTCTTAAATATAATGCAGTAAAGACATTTCTACACAGCAGTTGTTGGGGTTTGGTGGGGAGTTGTGGTTTTGTTGTGCAGTAGAGAACCATTGATGACTGATATAATACACTTCAATATATAGTTAGTGTGTTTCATAAAGTATTTTAGAAAAAAGATATAATATTAACAAACACTCCTAAATAATGTTTATCAGTAAAGTTCCCTCCTTGTTAAAATACTATGTAAGGAATAAAGGTTTCCATGTGAAGATATTAAGTGATATTTTTATGATATACTGTAGAATTTTGAAAGAAAATAAAGGTTATTTTGTACTGAGACTATGTACTCTATATATCAAGACTATGCTGCAGTGTTAGGCCTGTACAGTAGATATCAAGAACGCTGTACAAGTTCTGGGGCAATAAACTTCAGCTACAGGTTATTGTATATTTTGAAAAAAAATAACTTTACAAAATTACTTGACAACTACTAATATAAATGCTCTTGTATATACATAATATTTATGTTACATAAAAAGATTTTAGTTTGATTGACTATTTTATTTAATCATCAAAATGATAAATACAAACGACAATTGTATAAAAGGAGTGAGGCTGAGACGAAGTTGAGCTGCTCCAAACGTCTTATGTGCTGGAAGAAAAGGGACATTCTCTTTGTACAGGTTACAGTAATAGAGTACAATGACCACATTAAGTTATATTACACTAGATTTATTGGATTTATTTCACATTTTCCCACTACTGTACTTCCAAGCCCAGCCCACTTTTGGCAGAGCCGGGTGGCCATAACTCAATAATTACGCATTTTTCCAACCTTTCATCACCACCGCTGTAAAGAACATAAAAAACCGCTCTAGACTTAACAAAAATATAACGGGTTTATGCGATTTAAATATTATTGAAGTTATTTCTTGACTGAATCTTAACTGATATTTTTATTTAGTGGTTCGTGAGTGTGTGTGTGTTGGAGGGGTCTGGGGGGACTGTATGTTGGAGGGGTCTGGGGGACTAGGTTGGGGAGGGCTGGGGGGACTGTATGTTAGAGGTCTGGGGGACTTGTGTGTTGGAGGTCGGAGGACTGTTGGAGGGTCTGGGGACTGTATGTTGGAGGGGTCTGGGGGACTGTATGTTGGAGGGTCTGGGGACTAGGTTGGAGGTCTGGGGGACTGGGTTGGAGGGTCTGGGGGACTGGTTGGAGGGTCTGGGGACTAGGTTGGTTGGAGGGTCTGGGGACTATGTTGGAGGGTCTGGGGGACTAGGTTGGAGGGTCTGGGGGACTAGGTTGGAGGGTCTGGGGACTAGGTTGGAGGGTCTGGGGACTAGGTTGGAGGGGTCTGGGGACTAGGTTGGAGGGTCTGGGGACTAGGTTGGAGGGTCTGGGGGACTAGGTTGGAGGGTCTGGGGGACTAGGTTGGAGGGTCTGGGGACTAGGTTGGAGGGGTCTGGGGGACTAGGTTGGAGGTCTGGGGGACTAGGTTGGAGGGGTCTGGGGACTAGGTTGGAGGGTCTCAGGGACTGAGTTTGGAGGGTCGGAGGGGACTGTTGGAGGGGTCTGGGGGACTGTATGTTGGAGGGTCTGAAAGGACTGTTGGGGTCTAGGGGACTGTATGTTACTTGGAAGGTCTACAAGGACCGTGTGTATGATGGAGGTCAGGAAGGACTGTTACAGGAGGTCTGGGGGACTGTATGTGTGTGGAGGTCTGGGGACTGCATGTGTATGCTGGAGGGGATCTGAAGGACTGTTGGAGGTCTGGGGTTGTGTGTGCTGGAGGGGTCTGGGGGACAGCATGCTGGAGGGTCTGCGGGACTTTGTGCTGGAGGTCTGGGGGACTGTGTATGCTGGAGGGGTCTGGGGGACTGAGTGTGCATGTTGGGCCCCCGCTACCCCTGGGAGGGTCCCTGGGGCCTCCGCCACCCTGGGAGGGTCCCTGAGTCACTTGCCACCTTTGGGAGGGACCCTGTGGCCCCCACCACCCCTAGGAGGGTCCCTGGTGCCCCCGCCGCCTTTGGGATGATCCCTGTGGCCCCCGCCGCGTTTGGGAGGGTCTCTGTGGCCCCTGCTACCCCTGGGAGGGTCCCTGTGGCCCCTGCTACCCCTGGAAGGGTCCCTGGGGCCCTCGCTACCCCAGGGAGGGTCCCTGTGGCCCCTGCTACCCCTGGGAGGGTCCCTGTGGTCCCTGCTACCCCTGGGAGGGTCCCTGTGGCCCCTGCTACCCCTAGGAGGGTCCCTGGGGCCCTTGCTACCCCTGGGAGGGTCCCTGTGGCCCCTGCTACCCCTGGGAGCTCTGCCACCTCAGGGTCGCTGGGGCCCCTGTTTCCCCTGGGAGGGTTGCTGGGGCCCCTGCTACCCCTGGGAGGATCGCTGGGGCCCCTGCTACCCCTGGGAGGGTCGCTGGGGCCCCTGCTACCCCTGGGAGCTCCGCCACCTCAGGGTCCCTGGGGCTCTTGCCTCCTTTGGGAGGGTCCCTGGTGCCACTGCCGCCTTTGGGAGGGTCCCTGGGGCCCCCACTACCCTGGGAGGGTCCCTGTGGGCCCCCGCTCCTCCTGGGAGGGTCCCTGGGGGCACCGTGGACCCTTAGAGGGCCCTGGTGGTGCCTCCGTGCCTGGCATGGATAAGTGACCCTCATAGGGATAGCGACGATCCCAGCTTCCCTTACAGGGACGGAGGCCCCCAGAGCCTACAGCGGTGGCGCCTTCAGGGGCCTTTCAAGAGGCGGTGTCTCCCCTTGGGTCCCTCTATGGGGCGCCACTGCCCACAAGGACCCTGCCAGGGGCTGTGGCGCCCCTATGGGCCTTCCTAGGGCCGGCGGCGCTGCTATGGGCCCTGCTAGTGGCAGTGGGTGCCTTTCCAGGGGTGGCAGGGTATCTGCCAGGGGCGACGGCGCCCACAGGGGCCCTTCCACATGCCGCACCGCCCCAAAAACTTCATAGTGGTGTCGTACATTTTGCATTCTTCTAGTAATCCCTTACTTAACTGTGATTGGTGGAGCAAGATGTAACGTCATCAAATTACAGCCAATATGAGAACAGAGCAATCAGTCAGCACAACACCCCATCTTATGCTCTGCTGTTGGATATTTATTCTCGTTTCACTTTTTAAATTCTGGGAGATATGACCGTGAAATAAATACACCGCCCATCGCATTTCAGTATTATGTAACCTGAACAATGAAAAGGAGAATAAATATACAACAGCAAAATATAAGTTGGGGTGTGAGCTGACTGATTGCTCTGTTTTCCAACATGAATTTGATGACGTTATCTTACTCCCAATCACAGTTAATAGAAGATTACTGAAGAATGCATGTTATGTTTACACCACTATCGATAGTTGCCGCCTCCCTAGGAGGATCTATTGTAAGCCACAGGCTTGGCAGGGTCCTGGGAGCAGTGGCGCCCCATAAAAGAGGCCTGGGGGGCACCGCTATGGAAGGGCCCTAGGCGCCACCGCCGCTGGCAGGGCCTCTGGGGAGCACCACCATCCTGGGAACATACCTGGGGCCCCCATCCTGGAAAAACCCTGGGGTCACTGCTGTCCCTGTGAGGGCCTCTTGGGTTGCCAGCACCCCTAGCAGGGCTCATGGGGGCGCCGCCGAGTCTGTGAGGTTCCCGAGTGTTGCTGTCGCTGTGGGGTCCCTAGGTGCGTTGCTGTCGCTAAGAGGCCCATGGGCTAGACTGTTCCCGGAGGAGCCTCTGAGAGCCGCCTTCCTGGAAGGCCCTATGATTGCCGTTGTCCTAATAGCGACCTGGTGGATTCAGCGCACTGACAGTTTCCTGGGGCACCACCGACCCTGAGAGGGCCTGGTGGCGCCTCCAGGAGCCTGGCATGGCCAAGTGGCCCTCACAGGGATAACAGCGATCAGGGTCCCTTACAGAGGCGAGGGTCGCCTTCAGGGGGTGTTCCCAGGGACTGTGACGTCTCAGTGGCTCTACCACGCGATGGCACCTTCAGGGCCCTTCCAGAGCAGTGTCTCCCTAGGGTCCCTCTATGGGGTGCCACTGCCAACGATGGACCCTGTGAAGGGGTTGGTGTCCCATGGTCCCTCCTAGGGCCAGCGGCGCTGCTATGGGCCCTCCTAGTCATGTGGGTGCCTCCAGGGGCAGCAGGGTCTCCGGTAGGGCGACAGCGCCCCAAGGGGCCCCTTCCATATGCAGCATCGCCCCAAAAACTTCATAGTTTTTGTAGTACATTTTGCATTCGTCAGTAATCCCTACTTAACTGTCATTGGTGGAGTAAGATGTAGCGTCATCAAATAGAGCCAATAGGAGAACAGAGCAATCGGTCAGCACAACCCTATCTTATGCTTTGCTGTTGGATATTTATTCTCGTTTCACTTTTAAATTCTGGGAGATATGACGTGAAATAAATACACCGCCCAATCGCCCCAAAAAGAGGCCTAGGGAGGCCACCGCTGGAAGGCCCTGAAGGCGCCACCGCTGCTGGCAGGGCCTCTGGGGAACACCATCCTGGGAACATTTGGGCCGCCCCCATCCTGGAAAAAACCCCTGGGGTCACTGTTGTCCTGTGAGGGCCCTCTGGTCGCCAGCGCTCCTAGCAGGGCCCATGAGGCGCTGCCCGTGTCTTCGAGGGTCCCTAGGGGCGTTGTGCGTCCCTGAGAGGCCCTTGGACTTCGGCTGTTTCTGGAGGCCTGAGAACTCCGCCTTCCTGAAAGCCCCTAGGATTGCAGTTGTCCCTAAGAGCGCCCGGGTGGATCCAGCGCCCTTGGTGGATCAACGCCCGTGGTCCCCTGGGGGCACCGCCGACCCTGAGAGGCGATGAGGCGCCCTCCGTGCCTGGCATGGCCAAGTGACTCCACGGATAGCAGCGATTCCGGGTCCTTAAGATGGGAGTGTCTTCAGGGGGTTCCCAGGGACTGCAGAGTCCCCAGGGCTCTACCACCGGTGGGACCTTCAGGGGGCCCTTCAGAGGTGGCACCTCACCCAGGGTACCTCTTTGGGGCGACACTTCCCCATGGACCCTACCAGGGGTGCCAGCGCCCCTATGGGCCCTCCTGGGGCTCCCGGCTGCTGTGAGCCTGGTAGTGGGTTCCTTTCCAGGGCGGCAGGGTTTCTGAAAGGCGCAAGCGCCCCAGGGGCCCCTTCACATGCGCATGCTCGCCCAAAAACTTCATAGTTTTGTCTTACATTTTGCATTCATCCAGTAATCCCTTACAACTGTTGTTTGGTGGAGCAAGATGTACGTCATCAAATTACAGCCAATAGGAGAACAGAGCAATCAGTCAGCACAACACCCCAACTTATGCTTTTTTGGATATTTATTCTCGTTTCACTATTTAATTTCTGGGAGATATGATGTAAAATAAATACTACCTCCCGCATTTTCCAGTATTATCGCACCCTGAACAATGAAAGAGAATAAATATCCAACAGCAAAACATAAGTTATAGGTGTTGTGCTAATTGATTGCTTTGTTTTCCTTTGGCATAATTTGATGACGTTCCTCTTATTCCACCAATCACAGTTAAGTAAAGATTACTGGAAGAATGAAATATGTACGACACTATCCATTGTTTTGGGCGCCATTTCCCTAGGAGGATCTATGTGAGCCACAGGACTTGGCAGGGTCTGGGCAGTGGCGCCCCATAAAAGCCTGGGAAGCCACACGCCTCTGGAAGGGCACCTGAAGGCGCCACACCTCTGGCAAGGCACTCGGAGAGCCTCTGGGGCACCACGGTCCCTGGAACGTATCTGGAGCGCCTCGTGCCTGGAAAAAACCCTGGTCACCGCTGTCCTGTGAGGCCCCTCGGGTTGCCAGCGTTCCTATCAAGGCCCATGGGGGCGCTGCCGTGTCTGCGAGGTCTAGGGCGTTGTCGTCTGAGGCCCATGGAAGCTCGGCTGCTGTACTGGAGGCCCTGAGAACGCCATTCCTGAGAAGGGCCCTAGGATTGCCGTTGTCCCTAGAGAGCGCCCTGGTGAATCCAGCACCCCTGGTGGATCTAGCGTCTCTGACACGTCCCTGGGGGCACCGCCGACCCTGGGAGGGCCCTGAGGCGCCTCCGTGCTGCATGGTCAAGTGACCCTCACACAGATAACGGCGATTCAGGGTCCTTACAGGATGGGGTGCCTTAAGGGGTTCCTAGGGACTGCAGAGTCCTCCAGGGCTCTACCACAGCAGTGGGACCTTCAGGGGCCCTTCAGAGGTGGTGTCTCCCCAGGGTACCTCTTTGGGGCGACACTCCCATGGACCCTGCCAGGGGTGCAGCGCCCTATGGGCCCTCCTGGGGCCGCAGCGCTGCTGTGCGCCCTGCTAGTGGCAGTGGGTTCCTTTCCAGGGCAGCAGGGTCTCTGCCAGGGTGACAGCGCAGGGGGCCCTTCCATAAGCATCGCCCCAAAAACTTCATAGTTTGTCGTACATTGCATTCTCCAGTAATCCCTTACTTAACTGTGATTGGTGGAGCAAGATGTAACGTCATCAAATTACAGCCAATAGGACAGAGCAATAAGTCAGCACAACACCCCAACTTGTACATTGCTGTTGGATATTTATTCTCGTTTCACTAATTAATTCTGGAGATATGAGTAAAATAAATACACGTAGCCATTTTTCAGTATTATCATAGCTGAACAATGAAAACTAGGAGCGTTGCCATCCCTGAGAGGCCCATGGAACTCGGCTGTTTCTGGAGGAGCCCCTGAGAATGCCACCTTCCCTGAGAAAGTCTCTAGGATTGCAGTTGTCCCTAAGAGCGCCCATGGTGGATCCAGCACCCCTGGTGGATGTAGCGTCTCTGACACGTACCCTGGGGGCACCGCCGACCCTGAGAGGGCCCTGGGGGCATCTCCATGCCTGGCATGGCCAAGTTACTCTTACAGGGATAGCGTCGATCCCAGGGTCCCTTACAGGATTGGAAGCGCCTTCAGGGGTGTTCCTAGGGGTGGCAACGTACCCCGGGGCTCTACCACAGCGGTGGCACCTTCAGGGGCACTTCAGAGGTGGTGTCTCCCCCAGGGTACCTCTTTGGGGCGACACTGCCCACATGGACCTTGCCAGGGGCTGCGGCGCCCCTATGGGCCCTCCTAGGGACGACGGCGCTGCTATGGGCCCTGCTAGTGGCAGTGGGTGCCTTTTCAGGGGCGGCAGGGTTTCTGCCAAGGGCGACGGCGCCCCCAGGGGCTCTTCCACATGCAGCATCGGCCCAAAAACTTCATAGTAGTGTCGTACATTTTGCATTTATCCAGTAATCCCTTACTTAACTGTGATTGGTGAAGCAAGATGTAACGTCATCAAATTACAGCCAATAGGAGAACAGAGCAATCAGTCAGCACAACACCCCAACTTATGCTTTGCTGTTGGATATTTATTCTCGTTTCACTAATTAAATTCTGGGAGATATGAAGTAAAATAAATACACCGCCCATCGCATTTTCAGTATTATCGCAACCTGAACAATGAAAAGGAGAATATATATCCAACAGCAAAACATAAGTTGGGGTGTTGTGCTAATTGATTGCTTTGTTTTCCTATTGGCTGTAATTTGATGACGTTTCCTCTTATTCCACCAATCACAGTTAAGTAAGAGATTACTGGAAGAATGCATTATGTACGACACCACTATCCATTGTTTTGGGGCGCCGCCTCCCCTAGGAGGATCTATTGTAATCCACA